ATCAGATAAATAAAAGTAAATTTCAGATTGACTGAAATGGGTTGCTACCCATCACCGTTCCCTCATCAATGTTTGGCTAAGCCAATGGGGTACTTTAGAGAAACCACAGATAGCTCATTTGTTGGGGTTAGAGCAGCAGAATTGGAAGAGCCACAAATCGTGTTCTTGTCAGATAATTAGCCAAAGATACTGGCAGTGCATTCGGAAGTGTGTGTGGTCTCTAATTTTGTATTGTAAAATGTGACCTTCTGCATCATGCCTTGGTACCTCGTTTGGAATCTGTATTTCATATTCAATGCTGTATAATCTGTTGTCCCTTTGTAAAAGGTAATAATAATAATAAAGTGAATTACTACCACAAAGATGAAGCTTGGCAAACTTTGGATGTCACATGATCTAGTTTGCTATAAAATAGACATACCAAGAAAAAACAAGATTCTGATCACTGCACACTTGTGTGACAGCTAAAGTGTGGTCCCCTTTTTCCCTATTCTGAGCCATGTGAAGGGCAGCATATACTAGCTTTCATCTGACATCACACCAAATTATATCTGAAGTAAGCACATCTATAGAGTGGAATGAAGATGGGGGTACCTCCCTAGGGGGATGAACAATCCTGTAGCACTCCTTACCGGAAATCCCAGAAAAGTTAAATGTGTGCTCGAAATGACAGCGGATGGCGCCACACACAGAAACAACTTTGAACGTAGATGTCACCAGCACGACAAAAACACATGGGTCAGTGCAAATCTATTTAATGATATGTCACACGGAACATCAAGCGCCTTCGGGGCCACACCGGGTCTCCTTCATCGGGCTCAAGAGTAGACAGTCTACTGTAGACAGGCACATGACCACAGCAAGCAATGTGCCCTACTCAATGAGATGAACTAACAGAATTGCAATATCCAAATAAAATTTAATAAACGCATGAATGTAAATGACAATGTGCTGCTCCGCAGGTCACACTGATATTTCCGTGAACATTAAGAGGACCTGAGTCTCCACGTGCTTTCATATGTGCCTAATGGACTCAAGCTGCATTAGCAACCCATCAGTGTCATCAGCTAGATTACCTACCCATCTGAGATTTCAGCTATACATCACTCCCTTGCCTCTCTGGCTGACCACTCTGGTTGTGTTCCCTTTTTAGTTAAAATAAATTAAAAATTCTAGCAGAGGGCGTGAGCCACCCCCTCACCACCTCCGCAATGGCAGGTGGATGAAGAAGCTGGTTATGGAGATCTTTTCATCAGCATCTATGAAGATTGAGATCAGTGCAGGCTGCACTAGGATTTAAGTACGTGAACATTACCAGCTGCAACAAAACCTCGGTGAAAACACCTAAAAAAACAAAATAACTAATGTGTTGCGCTAAGCTCCAGATTATCCTTACATGAAAAAAATATTTTAACAAATGTATCCAACTGTTCTGAGTTTCGTGTTCTGACATAAATACTGAATATTTTAAACTTCAATCAAAAAACCTTAGACCGTGTAAACATAAAATCAAACAAATCCTTTTGTAATATACATAATAACATTGACAGGGGTGTGGAAGTTTTTGAAAAAACTACTTGTCCAAGGGCTAAAGCAGGGGCCAAATCTACTTGTCCTTCATAACAATCTACTTGTCCCAATAAAAAAAAAAATAGTTTTAATTAAAACTAGGGATGCACCAATACTGGTTTTTGGGTATAGAGTACCGATATTTTGCTTTCGATACTCACTGAGTATCGGTGCTTCCGTTTCCATGGAGCAGGCTTCCCGGCAATCAGGAAGCCATGCAGTGGGTAATGAGATGCTACCCGGCTTCCTGACTGCCAGGGAAGCCGACTCCATGTTGTTTGGCCGGCTTGATTGTGAATGGCTTGGAAGCCGGTTTCCCGGCCAATCAGCATCGAGCCAGCTTCCTGGCCAATCAGAAAACCGGGCGGCGAGTAATGACCTGATTGGCCAGGAAGCCGGCTCGATGCTGATTGGCTGGGAACCAGCTTCCCAGCCAATCAGCAAGGAGCTGGCTTCCTGGCCAAACTGGGAGACGGGTCATTAGTCGCTAACCCGCTTCCTGATTGCACGGAAGCTGGCTCCATGTTCCCCTCCGGCATTGCCGGTCAGAGGAAGTCTTCCTCTGACCAGAAGTTCAGGTATTGGAGAAGATATCGAGCATTTGGGTGAGTACAAGTACTTGCCCAAATACTCTGTATCTGTGCATCCCTAATCAAAACTGTATTGGTCTGTGCTAAATAGCGCTTCTCAGTGGTCAGCGTGGTCCCCAGACCACGCTGACCAAGGAGTGCTTGCAATTTGCGAGCGAAATTCAAAATGCATAGGGCAGGACTGCGCTGGACAGTACGGGGTAAGGGCAGTACACGTGTACCGGCGGAGTGTAAGGACTGTTTGCCGAAAGGTAAGTATAGCTCGTAAGTAAATGTAGCTCGTAAGTAAATGATCGGGTAATTCCATTTTCCCATATTACCTGGGAAAGTGAACTTGCCCACCCCCCCAACACAGAACTGATGTTCTGTGCAGTTCCTGACTGCTGAGACAGGTGGCGCTGGGATCACAGCGCACCCTGTCTCAGTGATAACACAGAGCAGACGAAAAACCTCCGTTTTTCGTCTGCTCTATGGTGAGCTCATGTTCCGTGTTTCGGGTCCGCTAGAGGAGCGGGGACCCCGAAAACCACGGGGGGGCGGTGTGGACAGAATCGCCGCCTCTTGTTTCATACAAGTGATCAGATCACTTGAAAACGAGCGGCGGCTCCACACTGTACACTTCTTAGCTCTGCCTGTCCGGAGCGGGACTAAGTGTGCAAAAAAACTACTCGCCCGGTGCCCGAAACTGCATGTCCCAGGCGTCGGGCGATAGGAATTCCACACCCGATTGATAATAGTCCAAATAAATCTGTGATTTCAATTGTGTGTTTCCACAGAGTGATCAAATTTCCCACGGAGGGGGGGTGGGGCAGCGAAAGGTGTAGTCAATATTATCATATAGCGATATTCAATTTATACTCTTCTGATCTTTCTTGCACAATCTCATCACAGATTTTTTGATCTGCTCTTTATACTCAGTGATATCCTCCCGCAGGATTTCAGAGGAAACCAAAAAAGAGGGGCTTCCATTGCGCAGTATGTTAAAAAAGTGGTTTTATTAAAGTAAAAATGCACTTACAAGCAGTATGCATGGAAACAGCTTTGCGATGCTCAAAGCACGGGAAACAGCGATAAGACTCTTCCCTCCTAGGTTTAACGTGCTTGGAGCGTTGCAAAGCTGTTTCAGTGCATACTGTTAATAAAACCACTTTAACATACTGCGCAATGGAAGACCTCTTTTATGTTTCCTCCGAAATCCTGCGGGAGGAGATCACGGAGTATAAAGAGGAGATTAACAGCAAGAAAAAAATTGGTAATAAGAAAATTGGACCCTGCTAGAGGTGCCCATAGACGAACAGAGGAGAGGAATTAGTTGGAGGAAGCCGCTCACGATCTACATCTGACTATGAAAGCAAGATCTAGTAAATATCTGGTGAGTGCAACATAGAGCACATTTAGGATCATTGTGCAAGAAAGATAAGATCAGAAGAGTAACGGATAAACTGAATATCGCTGTGTGATAATATTTACTACCCCTTTCGCTGTTCCCTAATCTCATGTGTGGGAAATTTTATCATTCTGTGAAAACGCAAAATTGAAAATCACAGATTTATTTGGACTATTATTATCAATGTTATTATGTATATAACAAAAGGATTTGTTTGATTTATGTTTACACGGTCTACACAGGCTGTCAAGAAGTAACGCACAGGCAGTAAAAAGACAAAAACAAGAAATAAAAAACAAAGCAGTAAATCATTTGTGAATACCAACATGAAAAGGTGCATTTGTGCCAATCATTTGATACATTCACAATCCAGTCTATCAAACTAAACGGAAGGAGAGCATCACAGTCAAGGTTGCCAAATGGTTTCCAAGGAATGTAGGAGCAGTGAATAGAAATATATACAACAAACATGGCTTTGCTTGACTTCCCTACATTTGCTAATGCACAGCAATTTGCAGGGGGTCTAAGCAGAATAAAGTAATGTTATGAGAGAAAAAGCAATGTAAATGTCTGGTTTCAAATGCTGCATTTTTGTAAAGTTAAACAAAATAACCTGTATATCATCAAGTATCTATTGCAGTAAAATGGAACCGTTTTCTTTGCTTACAATGCATTTGTTCAAAGATGTTTTGGATGTCAAATGAAATCAGAAGCCCATTTCAATCCCATAAGAGGTTTTGTCTCTCAATACCCCTCAAGCCAAAGTGAGAAGCTCATTTTTGTACGGAGTCTTGGAGACTAGCCTTGAATTCAGATATAAAAGTGATAGTAGAACACCATTATACTGAACAGATAAGTGTCTGGTTATTGTGAAATGCGACATTAAACAGGTTGTTAGAGTAAGGCAAATAGCAATGTTCAAAAGAAAATTGCACTAACCCACTGCAACAAATCAAAATGCATCTTTGACCAATCTAACTCCAGTGAAGTGTAGTTTATTTGGTTTCTAGAGTGTACTGCATTCTACACATCAGCACTGCCCTTTGTACCATTTTACTTAAATAAGTCTGCATGTGTTATCTGAAATGGGGACATGCATAAGAGGCAGCCTATATGTAGCAGTCACAAACAATGGTCTTAACCTTTTGTAATCAAAGCAGCATTACCCATAAATGTGGCAGGAGCTAGGATGCCAAAAAGCGCGAGAAATTACTGCTTGTGCTGTAACTTTGACTGGCTTTTGTTACAAAACGTATGCATATGTCTATGTAAAACCACCTTCTGACTCCTGGGAAGAACCATTTTGGTTCCCAATGTCTATAGTCTTCTTCATATAAGCATTTTCTGTGGCTGCACGTGCAAAATAAGCAACAATGCCTTAAGTACATTTAGCAGCCTCAAATGGAAATCAACAATAATTTGCTCAGGAACTGCCAATGCCTTATATTTTAATCTTACAACAATTATAATCTTTCACCTGAATTTTTCAACTGATTCTTGCCTTATAAAGGATTATTAGGATTTAGGAAGCTCATATAAAATAGTAAAACGGTAAGAAAACTAGAACAACATTTTTAGCAAGCAGTTCTACTTATGTGCATTAGCAGTAAAACTTGCCTAAAAGTTTTTCCTTGCATATTTACATTATCAATTAACACCAAGTCACACATCCAGACCATGCTCCCATTAGTGACTAGCGTCAGAAAAATATACAGAGGCACATGCCGAAAATAAAATGTCATCATTTCTAACCCAGAGCAATCATTTGTTTTCTAGATCTACCAAAAATGTAGCTGAACAAGAGGGATCATTGCATTGCACAAGACTATTAGAATAACAGCAAGGCCTAGAAAGAGGTCATACGGACTCTACCAGACCCGGTGATGAGGTTTCCAAGTCCTTGGTGTACTTGAGCCTGAATTGGGCCATATTCTACCTGCTCCCCATCCACAGTAAGGATTCCCTTTTCCGTGAGAGGCTCTAAACGGAATGCTCGAACAGGAACATGCACAAGGTATGGACATTCCATTCCAACATGTGTCCCCTTTTCCATGGCCAAAAAGAGACGAACAAGGGCTGTCCGAGAGATTCCCGCCTTAACAAACAATAAGTGAATCAGTCCATCATCAAAGTAGGAAAATGGTGCTGTGAATAAGTCAGCCCCAAGGTGAGTCTGATAAATACCCAGCACTAGAACAAAGTCTCCTTCCACAGTAACCCAGGACTTGGGCAAAGGTTGGCCCAAAGAAGGCAGATGATCATCCTTGGGTCCATTTACCTGGTTGCGTGTAGGACGGTCTACATCATTTTGCAGCACTTGATCGTGCTCAGACAGGTCATTAGGCACGGAGTCAAACTTGAACTTAGAGGAGTGCAATGCTGTTGGAGAGCCAGGAGAGGGTGAAGTCTCAAAGCTTGGTAGCTCACTGGTGTCGAGTGTAGCAGAGTTTCGCTCATACATAATATTACGCTCCTCACAAAGACCAATATCAGAAATAGTACGGTGCAGTTGGGAACGCTGCAAAGGAGCAAGGCTCCCATTGGGAGATAAGGTGATACTCCTGCAAATGGGACGGTGAGCATCCAATACAGGCAGATAAGAAAGGCGGCCTCTGTAAGTGCGCAAAGAAGCAACTCTTACCATGGTCCCTACAGTGAAGCGGGCAGAGCCCATGTGTCTGTATTTTTCACTTTCTATGTCCACATCAGAGATGAAACCCCAAGCAATAGTCAGGAAAGAAAAACAGCGAGTACCAGAGCAAGTAGTGACAGACACGAGGTCCATAGGCATAACAGTACCACGGCACAGCAGCAAGATACAGTTAAGTAGCAGCTCTGATCCCATTGCCTGCTCAAACCTAAAAGAAAAAAAAAAATGAAATAAAAATCACAGAACATGTCAAACTACAAAATCTTCAGCTAGAAAAGCATTTCAAATAATTAGGAATTTCAAATAATATTATTCTTATTATTAATAATTACTAAAACCACTGACCATTTTTTGTAAGTCCAGTACAAAAACCACAACCTTAAAGCAAGCATGCCCCTGGCAGAGATGCTAACCATATAGACACTGGTACCACTTTTCTCAGAACCCATCGTTGCAGGTGGCGGGTGTGATCCGCAGTATTAGACTTCCTAGATTTACCAGTGTTGGCACTGAAGACTTACTTGAATGTTCCAAACAATGCAGTGTGTCTCTTAACAGGTTGAGGCTCTGCACTGTTTTGTGAGATGAGCAGGAGGTGACCCTCAGCACTGACTAATACAATAGCAAGTATCTGAATAAGGCACGAATCCAGATTTTGGAAGGACCTGCTGCAAAGGCTTTCCAAATAAGTCAAGATGTCCAGCGTTCATCTAGAAAGTTAAATCTAGTAGACGCATTTGTAGTTTTTGTGAGCCATCTTTAACCGGTGTTAGAGACTACGCTGTTCTGAGAACTGTTATCTCATGCTTGTTTGAAAACAGACATGTCAATGTGCTAATTGACACACCTCTTTTACAATGTCACCTTCTGCTAACTGGCAACCTAATATGATTCACTATTACAGCTTTGTTTGCAGTTGTGATTTAGTCACTTGTGCTGCAAGATTAATCAAAGCCAGTGACTTTACTAGGGAATGGAGAGGATCAGAATCACAGTCACAGAGATTCCACTTTTAAAAACCCTAGTTGCAGCTCCCATATATTTCCATCTTCAGACAGCAAAAACTAGCGGAGGAAGATCCCTTTGTCACTTGCAACTAGGTGCACTAGTGGAAGGGCTTACATAAAGCTGAACTGGTGGGGACAAGAGCACATAGCGCACATAACTCTCCACCTAAGTGTGCCATCATTCAGTCCTTCAGCTTTCACTCTTGCCACATAAAACAAAAAATTGTGATAATAAAAAAGGTGCCCAACGGTCCTTAGTTAGGTAACTCCCAATGTGGCACAGCTCTGGACCTGGAAAGCACTTCATGGCTAAGGAACACAGTACACTCAGATCTGGAAAGCATCACAATGCAGAACCCAGTACCCTAAGACACATTTGCCTCTAAAGTCATTTCTGATCCAAACAGCTGCATATAGAGACTAGCTCAAGCAGCTTCAAACACAGAATAACGGCCAAAAAATTTTCAGCAGAGAAAAGATGTTTATCCTCCAAAGACATTAGCTAACAATTCTTGGACTGGGAAGGGTTATACTAGCTGGTCACTTATTTATTTGACTGTCCCACTCCTCCATAGGTGGCAGTATAACCCAAATGTCTATGAATCCGCCTCACTTTATATCAAATATAGTCAAAATGAAGCCCAGAGTGAATTTCAGAAATGTACCTTATGATTTTAACACTTTGTACTCTTAGATATGTATATATCTTTATCAGCAAATAAAAAAAAGGTGTCTTTAGTAACAGGGTTTACTCCCCAACACAATCTCCGATTTCCATTCCTTCTGCCTCTTCCATTACTCATTTTGATTCCTGTGTGGACAAGCTCATTATTGCTGCTGCAAGAAGTTTTTCTTACCCTGCATTGTAGTTAATAGCTCCAGCCAAGGCATTTCCTGAGCCACAAGGCAGAATCCCAATAGGCATCTTTATTGCATCTTCCCAATCAGGGCGTTCCATCAAACCATTAATAACCTGAGCAGAATATACAATGACATTAGTGAGGAAATTAGGACAGCTGCATTACCCTTGCTAGAATACATTTAGCACACTGTATTAAGAGAGTTTGCAGTACATTGTGTTAAGATAGTTTGTAGAATTAACACAATAAAAAACTCAATTAAGCTTTTATTTAAAAAAAGAACACACAATCCATAGTAGAGAATCAGAACTCAATGTGACTGTTTAACTAAGCTCGAACAAACTGAGTATTATTAAAATACTAAGTAAAAGTTGAATAGACCAAAAGGTTCCCAACCAGTTGTACATCTAACAGTTTTAGGGGGGTATTGAACCTGATTAAATGTATTATATCTGTAGAGAGTTTCAGAAAATGATATATAATAAGGACCAAGAGAAGTATTCAAAGTTTCTAAAAGAGCATAAAGCATTTGCACAGTTAAGGATAGGTTCACACCTTCACTACAAGACACCCAAACACGCGTCCTGGGACCACGCGATCGTGTGCTAGTGCACACAGTGATTGCCGTGGGCCCCCATTGATTTCAATGGAGTGAAATCAGCGCAGCAATCGCAAAACAAAAACCCAAACAGGCCGAACGCACTGGAACACGGACTTTGATGTGAACCGGCCCTAAATCGGTTGTATACTTGGATGCCCACCGCTGAAAAGTAAGGCATCTGATCTGCCGGTGTATGATCAGCTTTAGTCTATCAAGATGAAAAGAAAAAAAATACACCCTTCTGTGTTATTACAGAAAAGAAGCTAAATTAGGCATTTTCCATTAGGGGTCAGCAGCTGCCAAGGTTTTTCTATTACTAAAAATATAAATTGCTTGGTAGTCTCTAGGTCAGGGGTGGCCAAAAGGTCGATTGCGATCTACCAGTCTTCCCTGGATCCTCGCTGCTCTCCCCCATCTGTATGCATCCGCTATCACAGAAGTAAGGCCGAGCAGGAGAGGGAGAGATCTGACAGCCGGCTCTCTCTGCCCACTGCACTCCCTTCTCTGCTGTCCCCGCGGCTGCAGTGCTTAGTTTACTTCTCGGATCCCCTGCCGCCTCTGCGAGGAGAGCAGCGGGGATCCAAAGAAGAAGCTGAGCCCCCCTGTGTGCGTGGCCGAGCGGCGGAGGACTATGTGTCCCCAGTTTTGAATGAACAGGATGTGATTTACATTACTTCCTGTTCATTCATGAGTTTCTCAATGGGGAGTAGCACTCTGTACAGAGGCACCTCCCCATTCAGAAACTGGATGATAGTAAAATAGTTTCTGAATGAATGGGAAGCCTCTGTGCTTTCCATTAATTTAGAACAGAGGCTGCAGAAAAAGAAATTGAGGACTTTGTGTTCTCAATTTATTTTTCTATTTTAAAGGGGAAATATCAGGGGGCTGTTTAGACCCAATATTTCCCCGAAACATTGACTTCAATGCACAGACCTGCACTCGGGCGGGAAGGGGGCATGTGTTTTTTCATTGGTAGATCTCATTCAGCTCGTCATTTAAAAAGTAGATCTCCAGACAAAAAATTGTGGGCGCCCCTGCTCTAGGTCATGGACCTAGAGCCAGCATGCAGCCTGTGAAGCCATGACTTCTGATCTGGTTACATGTTCAGTCAGTGACCTGGAAATTATTGAAGCTAGAGGATCTGCATGACAGCCAGTGTTTCACAAGCATAGCAACAATTATATATAAAACCCCATTAAACATAAAAAACATATATAACAAAGGGTTCCCAGGCAGTTAAAAACAAAAAGAATGAAATGTGGTGGGAAGTGCCTTTCATTGTCTGAACTACAGTATTAAAAAAAAAAAACAGCAAAGAAATTAAATATTCACAAACTTCCAAACATTCTGTTCCCACACAACAGCGAATCTACATGTGCAGTGTAGGATCTTTCCTGTCCCTTCTGGTACAGCGTGGGAGTAGTTCTCTAATTTGCCTTCAATGTAAAAGAAGCGTTTCAGTGCTGTGGTAATATTAGAACAGTAAAAGGAAGAGCCTGCCAATGCAAAAAATAGTAGGCAAAGTCTACAGACATTCAGAATAAACACTAACATAAGGGGAGACCATCATTTGACCCACCACAAAAAGGCTTACAACTTCATAGTCCAGATCCACCTGTTTTCTATGGGACCCTCAAACCAACTCTGCCTTTTAAAAGGAAAACAATTCTACTTCACTAAAACAGTGATTAGAAAAAATGTTGTTACACAGCCCTTTTATAATATTTAAAATGACCTTTTCATTTCAATCGGCAGTTTCCAGGATTTTGTAAAACTGCCAAAAAAATGCTGTTGCTTCCTTGAAAGCGGCAACTTTGGCTTCTGTGGGCTCCTTAACTTTAAAATGACAAATAACAAGCAGGCTGCAGCTCGAATGGAGCTCCACTTCACTTTCATAAGGTGGAGATATATGCACACAAAAAAAAAGTGTTTTTTATTCAAAAGGAAGCTACCTCAGCATTTAAATGTAAACTTAGATATTACCTCAAACAGGAGCCCATCTCCAGAAATAACAACAATGCCATCCCACTCCTCCAGATTGATAGTCTGTATCAGCTCTCGAGCATGGTTTTGTCTCTCTGGAAGGAAGGTTAAGACAGAAGAGATATAGTTAATCAAATGGTGATAACAATGAGTGCTGAGGAAGAACACACATTATGAATTGTATAAAATCGCACCTGTTTGTACGAGGTTGTAGCTGATATCTGCTTCCGTGATTAGAGGCAGAATGTGTGTGTGACACTGCTGCAGAGCATTGCCACGTCCACCACAAGGATTCAGTATTAGCATTAATCGCCGGGCCCTGGGCTGGAGATCTGGAGTAATCTCTAAATGAAAAAATGGCATCATTAATCACCTTATATAAAACAGAAGAGCTGTAAATAATCTTTAAGCATTTCCTTTCATTGCTCTGCTGTGTTTTGGTGTTATTGGGGCACATTAAAAAACGATTCAACAGGGGTAGGTCTTCTTCGTAAATTAGCATTTGCGGGAACGTAAAAATTTGGCCCAGGACTATGGTCTGTAATTACCGATTTTACTAAATGCAGCTGTCAAATGAGAAGCAAGAAACACTAAATGGGCAGGACTGGGATGGGCCACATTGTTCTGTGTAGTAATAGTCACTGTCCCTTAAAATGGTCAAACACTACTGACTCGGATGAAATTGGACTAGTGTATGGCCTTGTCAGGACTCCCTCTGTTTAGCAAAAGTCGATTTTATTTAAAAACAGACTTTTGTCAAAGGAGCTGGTACAAAAAAAAAAAAAAAACCCTCGACCTGGTTGGCTGTAGTCACTGTTCAGGTATTCTGACAGCCACACACATGCTCCGGTCAGAATACAATAGATGGGGGAACAGAGTTGAAACAGTGTTACGGCCAGCTTTGGGCAGATGTAAAAGGAAAATTACTTTTTAATGAAAGACAATATAAAGAGAAAAGCAAAATATTGTTGTTATAAAATGATCAATTTTATATGACACTTAAAAAGGTTTGTGGGCTCATATGCATAGTACACATGGCACTTGTGCTGGCTGAGTTATCATCACTACCTCACTTGGGGAGTCACTGACCAGAATACAGGTGTAGGTGCTGTGGTGCCACATTGCAAATTGGGCACCGCAGATACAATCCTTTGGATATGAAACAACGCAAAAGCCTAAGTGTGTGTGTGTGTGTGAGAGAGATAGATAGATAGATATATCTCACACACACACACACACACACACACACACACACACACACACAGGGCTGTAGCTACCATGGGGTGAGTGAGGCACTCCTCAGGCACAGCTGAGAGGGGGCTGCGTTTCTAAACACACACACAACCACAACATTCAGTTCCAGCTGCCAAGAAACCGCTTGTGTGTGTGTTAGAAACATTAACTTTTGATGCATTTAGTTATCGGTCAGTATTTTTGTTTTTACCCTGGAGTAAGAATGCTTAGAATATAGTCAAAAAATAATAACAGTGACAGCTATACCAGTACTGTGTGGAGGACAGGTTAGTTTTTGAGCATACTGGATTACTGAAATTTGTCAAACAGGTGATTTTCTATTAGTATGAATATAAAATATACATTTAAAAAGAACCCTGATTGCCTGGATTCATGAAGTAGTGCCACATTCTTTGCATACTGAATGAAGTCATGCAATTTGAAATCAGTTTGCACCCAAAAAAAAAAAAAAAATCAATTTGCTAATCTCTATGCATTTCACTTACATTAGTTTAAAAGGAGCTGAACGCATGATTTCTCAATGCCCCAACACCTGATAAACCCTGGTGATTCCATGTTTGTATTACACATATATTTGTGGTATGAAAGGGCTAGTAAGGTTAATTCAGAAATCGGGAGCTAGTCAGTGTACTCTAGGAACCATCGGGCCAATAACATTGGAAAACAAGAAACGGCTCCAAAACGTGGACACTGGCTCAACATAGAAGAACAAATCACCCGACTACTGGAACTTGTGCAGGCCTGGCTCATGACCAAGTCTATTGTTCCAACAATCCTGACAAATGGAGTCACGTGTGACCTGTGCTTCAGGATATCTTAAGATATATTTGTCAGGAGATATACAAGAAGTAGTCAAAGGAGCAGAATAATGGTAAAGAAACAACGGCAAACAAAGCCAAGATATAATTATCCAGAAAGTACAAATGAGGCGGCAATTAGAGCAAAATATTTCTACAATACAATGCCCCGGAAAAAAGAAACCTCGTAGCATTCATCAAGTGCTTCACAGAGAGACATATGTTTGATGATAGATCCCATTTTAATGAAGGCACAGAAAGCTGACCTCCAGGAAGATATTAAAAATACAAAATGACAGAGATTAGCTCATCAATGAGCTGCTTTTCTTTTCGCTGTCTTGTCATAGGGTAGGGATGGGGAAGGGACCTGTAAGTGAAAGTAAAACTGCAGCAGAGAAAATTCAGGTCCCCTTCCCTACTAGACATAACTGCTGTGTAAATCTCAGAACTAGGATTGACAAATACTACTCCTTGGACAAAAACAACAGCTCTCATCTGTGTATCTAGCTGTTCAACTCTTAATTTTACCACAAATTTCACGATCAAAGCTCTTTCTCCTCATAAATTTCAAGCTGAACTCCTGCTTGGCACACTGCAAGTACATACAGGTGAAACTCGAATAAATTAGAATATCGTGCAAAGTTCATTTATTTCACTAATGCACCTTAAAAGGTGAAACTAATATATGAGAGACTCATTACATGCAAAGCAAGATAATTCAAGCCGTGATTTGTCATCATTGTGATGATTATGGCTTACAGCTCATGAAAACCCCAAGAACCCCAAATCCACAACCTCAAAAAAGTAGATTATTACATGCAATCAATAAAACAAGGATTGTACATAGAACAATATCGGACCTCTGAAAAGTACAAGCATGCATATGTACTCAGTACTTGGTTTGGGCCCCTTTTGCAGCACTTACTGCAATTACTTTTGCACGATATTCTAATTATTCGAGTTTCACCTGTATAAAAGGATTCCTAGCATTACCATGGAGATCATGTAAAAAACAACAAAACCGTGTAGTAGCTACAACGTTCATGAAAACACTACGCGTGCTCTGAATGGCCGCTGTGCTGAACGAGCAACCAGCTGTGTTTTAACCAGCACAGAGCAAACCGCTCAGCCCAGCGGCCGTTTCTATACCTAAAAGACGCTGTAATAAACTGCAGTGGCTGCATCTAATAGAGTGTATTACATGAACCCTGTGGCTCTGCCAGGTATCATTTACATATACTTGCACTGGGCCAAGCTGGACCATTTTAAGCTGGAATTACATTTAGGAAATAGGTTTAAAAAAAAAAAAAAAAACACACCACACAAACAAATAAAATATATAAAAAAGTACGAGCTATATGGCCTCAGATGCACATTTGCACCTCTCCTTAACGCCTAGCCTGCCCTGAGCCAATACAATGTTTTTACAAGCAGCTGTTCTGACATCTTCTAAAAAGGTTATATACACACACACACACACACCAGGTACGTGATGTGAATAAAGAATATTATATTATGTACATATATTTAAACTTCCTGCAAGCACCCAGATTGGCCATTATTTTTATATCCCCTCATTACATACACATCTTCTGCTTCCTGCTTAACAGTGCTCCATTCCATTTGTGCCTCACTCATCTTCTTAGATCACTTCAAGTCTACCAGACCAGATCCGGCTGGCTGCAATTAATAGACTCTCTGTAGTGTATAATGATGAAGCATCCACATTAATCCACACGGATAATTGGAAGTATTGCCCAGGTAATTTTTATTCAAGCCAATAAAAATGTACCAATGTTGCCCAAAATGCAGCACCATACCCGCTCACCCTTTCTTTCCAGCGCCATACATCACACTTCCTCCCCTGTACCGTACACTCACCATTCCTCCCCTACACTGTACATCTGTCAAACCTCTGTAGTAAATCTTGCTCACAGCTATCAGACCGATTTAGTGGTAACATGCTGAAGAGAGGAGTGGCCACACACAATGGGGAATACAATTTTACAGTGCGGCACATGTACTTGACAGCAGATCATGTGACACCATGAAAAGCATTTTGTTTTCACAATAAAGGGTGCAGTGTTTATAAATAAGGTTTATGTTATGTGGACACCTTGAATATAAACAGTGCTTATAAAATCAGGTTTATGTTATGTGGACACCTTGAATATAAACAGTGCTTATAAAATCAGGTTTATGTTATGTGGACACCTTGAATATAAACAGTGCTTACTAAAGTTGTTTTTAAAGGTTATGACTTTTCCTTTGTTTCTTTTTAATTACTTACAAACCAAACAAGAGCTGTTCTGGAACCATCCCAGAAAGGGAAAAGGTTCAAGTCCTCCTGTATCAGCTTGCATCAAGCAGCCTTGTACTTTGGCCTCTTTCCCAGGTGAACAAAGATAAAGATGATACTGACTATAAAGGTAATATAATTGATCACGCAAGATGAAATGGAGACACCAGGAGCCAGTTACAAATGCATATCTTTCTGATTCGGACTGAACGACCTGTTATTTGTTTACATGTAATTGACACAATTGCAGACCTTCACAAGAGAAGCACAAATGGAAGCTTGTCAGTCTAGTGCTTTGCACCATGGTGTTGGGAGTGCTGAGCTTTTGGATTTATTCATTTATTATCCTTCACAATGCATTATTATTTTCTCTAAAAAAGTCACATACATTTAAAAGAAAACAATATGGTGTCCATGAGCCTCAAACTGCCAGATGTACCGCCACAAATATGATTTATTCTTGTGTTAAGGCTTTTCCTCCTCCTGACCGTATCCGTTCAGACACATTTCTAAAAAAAACAACCAAGCATCAATTGTGCAAAGCAGATTCAGTCTACCGTACCTCAAATCAGCATTGTAGTGTGAACAGGGCACCTGTGCAATTTAGTAGTCGTGCATCAGGAACTTGAGATTTCCTGCAGCAGGAATCCCAAATCTGCCGTTTACACGCAGCAGCTGGTACCCGTTCGGGTGACAGCGACTGCATTTGAAAGCACATACAATTACATGCGGTTAGGAATCAATCATCAACCCTGGACGCATTAATCGTGCTAAAAAATTGTATGTGTGAATGTAGCCATGAAGTTGACTTTAGTTCAATAGACACAATGTGAATGAATGAGTAGTCTTGATTTGCCTTTACTTAATCCTATCATAGGCACTAGAAAAAAAAAAAAAATAGCACCATGCAGGGAGAACCATATATATTGTGATCACCTTCATTATGACTGCAAAAGCTTGGAGGAGCCAGGAAGCCAAGTGCATGCATTTCACTGTTAGGGTCCTCAAGTTCCAACAAGTAATGCTGTGTGTGATGCTATGGTCATCTACTCAGAACTTGTTTCAGATGGCCTTTTCAAGTAGTAGTAAACCCTCCTCTTTCAATTACAGTATTAATTAAGGATACACCGATACCGGTATTTCGGTATCGAGCACCGATATTCTTTTTTCCGGTACTCGCCGATACTGAATACCAAGTACCGAAAGTCTCATTCAGAAAGCCAGGTAGCGTGTAATAACTTGCCACCTGGCTTTCTGATTAGCCGGGCAAGAAAGCATGGAGCTGGCTTTCTGGCCAATCAGGAAACCGGGCACTGTGTAATGACGTGGCACCCGGTTTCCTGATTGGCCCGGGAAGTCGGCTCCATGCTCCCTCGTCATGAGGTGACGAGGGAGCATGAAGCCGGCTTCCCGGCCATTCAGAAAGCCGGGCGCCACGTCATTGCATGGCGCCCAGCTTCCTGATTGGTCGAGAAGCTGCTCTTTCAGGAAGCCGGGCAGTGAGTCATCACACGCTGCCCGGCTTTACCCAAATACTCGGCATCAGCACTGATACCAATACTAGTATCGGTATCTGTGCATTCCTAGTATTAATGTCCACCAAGAAACTTGCACAATCATTTTTCTTTTTTTTTTTTTTTATATACAAAATAGGCGCTTTTACAATTTGTTTTGTTTAAAAGCCACTTGCTCAGCTTCTCACTCACCACTGCTTCTCTAAACTTCTGGTTGGAAAAGGCGCACAGTAGACTAAAACAGAAAGGTCACATGACTGAAAGCTTTGGGACCATATGCCCCAGTATTCCAAGTACCATCAAAAGAAAGCGCATGCATACTCACCCTCAGTTTATGCTGGTTCCTTTGGCCACAGCAGCTGGCAGGAAAGCAAAGAAAGTATGAGCTGCTGGGAAGGGGGGGGGAAATAAGATGAACTTGCTATTAAGATGAACTACATGGGCAAAGCACAAGTTCACTTTAAGGATTATATTATGCTACTTTTTTTTTCTCCTTTATCTTTGCTCAAGCAAGAATTGTTTTACAGCTAGTTCTATCTATGAAAGAAACATTACAGAGTACATCACAAGGAATCATGTGCTTGGCACCACAAACAAGACGACCTAAGGCAACTATACTGTGGTCAGCTGTGTAAGCCTTTTTCAGAAACATGAATACAAATCCTGGGCTGCAATCCAGAAGGGCCCACATCAAGGGCAGACTATTCCACTCATCTACGAATTCACATTTCTCAGGACCGAACAATTGTCAGCACACCACACTGGGTCAATATATTCCCAAGACTTGCCCAGTCTAAAGAGGAGGCTATACAGTATTTTCTGAATAAAAATAAAAAACTATTTAGGTTATTGATTTAACAATTACCTAAGAGTCAGTCATTCTTTGCTCGCCGTTTCCCATTTTGAATCATGAAGATTTGTAGAAGCTAACCCCAAAAGCTAATAGGTATCCTAGGAAATAAAATTAGCCTCCCCTACTTAACCACTTCACTAGCAGAGCAATTTAAAAAAAGTTTGCACATGTTCATATCAGAATTTCTGGCTAGAAAACCCGCTTAAAACCTCAAAACAATTGTATATTTTCTAAAGGCAGAGGTCCCGTAGAACAAGACCCCTTTTATATAGGTGGTCCGAGGAGATCCATCTGTCATTTTTTTTTAGGCGGATCTGATCAGAAGCCCAATGTTTGCCTGTGGGCAGGCGGATCTAAACTGACGGTGACATCGGTTTCAAACTGCTCTGATTAGCAAGGAATTTATGCATGGAACCGCTGCTGATCACAACTGACAGGCGGTACCCATAAGTGAAATTTTAAAGCCTTTACCACTCATCAGTGTAAAGTTAACAGCGAGCAATGGCCCTAGAATAGTCTCACTCGAACAACTGCAGCAATATGTAGCATACCCTAATGAACCTGATGAAGCACACATTTTTTGGTTTGCGCGGATTATGAAGTGTGCACATTGTTCGGATCTATACAAGTGCATATGCAGCGCAGCGCTGTATGCTGATCTAAAAACATCCTGAAGCCAGATGTCAAATAAAATATTTAGTACATTACATATTCTGTTAAACTTCTATGTATTCAGAGACACGTATGACACGTATAGCTGCCCCCTGAGAAGGCTACAGTACATCCCCAGTGCCTTCCAGAAGGATCTTGTTTCTAAATTGTGAAACCTCGCGAAATCCTGGGAAAAGGGCTTTTTACAAGCTCATACAAAAAGTGGAAAATTGTATTTAGCTGCAAACAATTTCTTACCCATATCACTAGAGATTGGGACTTCTTGAATCAGGCACTTGATTGCAGTTGCCCACTTCTCAGCAATGGACTGATTTCGCTCATACTCAGAGGCTTCATCCACTCTAAAAGTGCGAACCAACCTTTGGCGTGTGCGTGTGGAGCCCATTGCAACCTTCTTCTTCTTCATCGGATAGGAATAAATACAAAAATAGGCAAAAATTTCATTTGTGCCACTACTCCGTAGAGTATGACATCCCACCATGTCCATAATAGGGAGCACTGTTCGTTGGTCATCTTCAGGTTTGGGCACCAGTCTCTGGATATGGAGCCCTGTTTGGGTCAGACTGAGTGCATAACGAATACCTTTGGATGGGTAGACACCAAACTCTCCATGGAGCAGGGTGTCTGAAGCCTGACGAAATTTGGTGGACATTTTACGTAGGTGGTATAGATGTCGCTAGCTGTGATCTTACCATATAATAAATGACATACAGTGGCACAAGTGCATAAAACTTGGCTCGAAAATGCATAAAGGCAAACTGGAAGAAACATTCAAAAATCCAAAAAAGTGGAGCAAAGACCGCATTTTTCTATCCATCATTTTGTCAAAAAAAGGCAAAGAAGCAGCAAAGCCACCTGATCAAAAGACTGCATATTTTAGTAGTAATATCTGTCTGTGAAACAAGGTACACACTCCAAACAGCCAATATACAGCAGGCTTCCTCTCTTCCAAATGATTAAACTCCAGAGTCAATCTTTATCTGTTGAACAATTTAAGAAAAACGAAATGTTCTTGTTCTGTGGGTGGAAAAAAAAAAAGGATGAAATTGTGACAAAATCAAATTTCATTACTAACGGAATTACATAAAACATCACATTTATATTGAGATAGCATGTACCAGCTGCAGGGTACAATAAATAAAGGCACGCAACAGAAGTGCCCATTTGTTGAACGGCCACTGTGCTGAGCAAGCAAACCTCTGTATTTTAACAGCAGAGGGGGAAGTCCCTCAACACATTTTCTATGGTCAGATGGAAATAGTGCAACAGATTCCTCCATCTACGCTAAACTGTGTGGATGGAGGAATCTCTCCACACCTGAACAATCTGATTGGGTGCTGGCATTGTTCAGGTATTTTGAGAGCCAGCGTGCCTGACCAGCACGATACTGAAGCTTGGCCCAGGGGGAGATTCCTCCATCCACACAGTTTAGCGTAGATGGGGGAATCTGTTGCATTTTTTCCATCTGACCATTGTGTGTGTTTGTGTGTGTGTTTCAGGGTAAAGGGAAAAGTGTAGTAATATTCAGCTGTAATGAAAGGCAAGGCAGAAGGCTGGGTATTGGCACATAGTCGGCAGAACTGTAGGCTCTGAAGAATTGCTTCACTCTCCTAATGCTAACAAGTAAACTAGCACAGGAAAAGTGGGACGATCAAGAAGAGAAGTTGTTGGTACAACAAAGGTGAACCTAAAACTATTTTGTTTTCTTTCGATAGAGCACAAGTGAATTAAAACCCTGTTTGTTTTGTGCCATCTTTGCTCCTGTTGTAACAGGAGTCACCAAACAAGACTAGAGGTGAAATATTCGAGGACAACAATTTAAAAGGGGATTTCACTTCACTGTCTGCGGTGTCTCCAGGACAAAAGCTTAAAGAAGGAGAACTCCAGGCACAATAAAACTTAACCCTTGCAGTGGGGCTACACCTGCACTCCAAGGGTTAAAGGGTTAAGTCCTCATTTTAGTCTAGGATCTAAAATTACAAAAGATATCCTCACCCGATCCTCAGACCCGATTGGCTGCTAGACTACTCCGCCTCCAGCGGTCTAAGGACCCATGATGTCATCACATCTAATACAGCGTATTAGACATGAAGATGTCGAGGGCCATTCCATCACCCCCCCCCCCCCCCAACTATCATGGGGGGGGGGAGGGCGGGGGGCACGC